TCTGAGATTTTGAAATTCTGAGATTCTGAGATTCTGAGTATCTGAGATTTGGAAATTCTGAGATTCTGAAATTCTGAAATTCTGAGATTCTGAGTATCTGAAATTCTGAGATTCTGAGTTTCTGAGATTCTGAGATTCTGAAATTCTGAGATTCTAAGATTCTGAGATTCTGAAATTCTGAGATTCTAAGATTTTGAGGTTCTGAGATTCTGAGATTCTGAGATTCTGAGATTCTGAGATTCTGAAATTCTAAGATTCTGAGATTCTGAGATTCTGAGATTCTGAGATTCTGAGTATCTGAGATTTGGAAATCCTGAGGTTCTGAGATTCTGAGATTTGGAAATTCTGAGATTCTGAGATTCTGAGATTCTGAGATTCTGAGATTCTGAGATTCTGAAATTCTAAGATTCTGAGATTCTGAGATTCTGAGTATCTGAGATTTTGAAATTCTGAGATTCTGAGATTCTGAGTATCTGAGATTTGGAAATTCTGAGATTCTGAAATTCTGAAATTCTGAGATTCTGAGTATCTGAGATTTTGAAATTCTGAGATTCTGAGATTCTGAGTATCTGAGATTTGGAAATTCTGAGATTCTGAAATTCTGAAATTCTGAGATTCTGAGTATCTGAAATTCTGAGATTCTGAGTTTCTGAGATTCTGAGATTCTGAAATTCTGAGATTCTAAGATTCTGAGATTCTGAAATTCTGAGATTCTAAGATTTTGAGGTTCTGAGATTCTGAGATTCTGAGATTCTGAGATTCTGAGATTCTGAAATTCTAAGATTCTGAGATTCTGAGATTCTGAGATTCTGAGATTCTGAGTATCTGAGATTTGGAAATCCTGAGGTTCTGAGATTCTGAGATTTGGAAATTCTGAGATTCTGAGATTCTGAGATACTGAAATTCTGAGATTCTGAGATTCTGAAATCCTGAGATTCTGAAATTCTGAGATTCTAAGATTTTGAGATTCTTAGATTCTGAGATTCTGAGTTTCTGAGATTTTGAGATTCTGAGATTCTAAGATTCTGAGATTCTGAGATTGTGAAATTCCGAGATTCCACAATTCTGAAATCCTGAGATTCTGAAATTCTGAAATTTTGAGATTCTGAGACTCCGAGATTCTGAAAAATAATGAATTTAATACCATTTATTCCGTTACTAACACAAAAATTAAATTTGCGAAAAAAAAAATCCAAAAATGAATGTTTCTGAGATTCCGAGATTCTGAGATTCTGAGATTCTGAAATTCTAAGATTCTGAGATTCTGAGTATCTGAGATTTTGAAATTCTGAGATTCTGAGATTCTGAGTATCTGAGATTTGGAAATTCTGAGGTTCTGAGATTCTGAGATTCTGAGATTCTGAGATTCTAAGATTCTGAGATTCTGAAATTCTGAGATTCTAAGATTTTGAGATTCTGAAATTCTGAAATCCTGAGATTCTGAAATTCTGAGATTCTAAGATTTTGAGATTCTGAGATTCTGAAATTCTGAGATTCTGAGTATCTGAGATTTGGAAATTCTGAGATTCTGAGATTCTGAGATACTGAAATTCTGAGATTATGAGATTCTGAGATTCTAAGATTCTAAGATTCTGAAATTCTGAGATTCTAAGATTTTGAGATTCTGAAATTCTGAAATCCTGAGATTCTGAGATTCTGAGTATCTGAGATTTTGAAATCCTGAGATTCTGAAATTCTGAGATTCTAAAATTTTGAGGTTCTGAGATTCTGAGATTCTGAGATTCTGAGATTCTGAGATTCTGAGATTCTGAAATTCTAAGATTCTGAGATTCTGAGATTCTGAGATTCTGAGATTGTGAAATTCCGAGATCACGTCATTTTGTAGTTTTTATGGGAATTCTGAGATTTTGAACTTCCTGAAACAGGAAATTCTAAAATTATGAAGTATTAATATTCTGAGACCCTGAGATTCTGAGATTCTGAGATTCTGAAATTCTGAGATTCTAAGATTTTGAGATTCTGAGTATCTGAGATTTTGAAATCCTGAGATTCTGAAATTCTGAGATTCTAAAATTTTGAGGTTCTGAGATTCTGAGATTCTGAGATTCTGAGATTCTGAGATTCTGAAATTCTAAGATTCTGAGATTCTGAGATTCTGAGTATCTGAGATTTGGAAATTCTGAGATTCTGAAATCCTGAGATTCTGAGATTCTGAGTATCTGAGATTTTGAAATCCTGAGATTCTGAAATTCTGAGATTCTAAAATTTTGAGGTTCTGAGATTCTGAGATTCTGAGATTCTGAGATTCTGAGATTCTGAAATTCTAAGATTCTGAGATTCTGAGATTCTGAGTATCTGAGATTTGGAAATTCTGAGATTCTGAAATTCTGAAATTCTGAGATTCTGAGTATCTGAAATTCTGAGATTCTGAGTTTCTGAGATTCTGAGATTCTGAAATTCTGAGATTCTAAGATTCTGAGATTCTGAAATTCTGAGATTCTAAGATTTTGAGGTTCTGAGATTCTGAGATTCTGAGATTCTGAGATTCTGAGATTCTGAGATTCTGAAATTCTAAGATTCTGAGATTCTGAGATTGTGAAATTCCGAGATCACGTCATTTTGTAGTTTTTATGGGAATTCTGAGATTTTGAACTTCCTGAAACAGGAAATTCTAAAATTATGAAGTATTAATATTCTGAGACCCTGAGATTCTGAGATTCTGAGATTCTGAAATTCTGAGATTCTGAGATTCTGAAATTCTGAAATTCTGAGATTCTGAGTATCTGAGATTTGGAAATCCTGAGGTTCTGAGATTCTGAGATTTGGAAATTCTGAGATTCTGAGATTCTGAGATACTGAAATTCTGAGATTATGAGATTCTGAGATTCTAAGATTCTAAGATTCTGAAATTCTGAGATTCTAAGATTTTGAGATTCTGAAATTCTGAAATCCTGAGATTCTGAGATTCTGAGTATCTGAGATTTTGAAATCCTGAGATTCTGAAATTCTGAGATTCTAAAATTTTGAGGTTCTGAGATTCTGAGATTCTGAGATTCTGAGATTCTGAGATTCTGAAATTCTAAGATTCTGAGATTCTGAGTATCTGAGATTTTGAAATTCTGAGATTCTGAGATTCTGAGTATCTGAGATTTGGAAATTCTGAGATTCTGAAATTCTGAAATTCTGAGATTCTGAGTATCTGAAATTCTGAGATTCTGAGTTTCTGAGATTCTGAGATTCTGAAATTCTGAGATTCTAAGATTCTGAGATTCTGAAATTCTGAGATTCTAAGATTTTGAGGTTCTGAGATTCTGAGATTCTGAGATTCTGAGATTCTGAGATTCTGAAATTCTAAGATTCTGAGATTCTGAGATTCTGAGATTGTGAAATTCCGAGATCACGTCATTTTGTAGTTTTTATGGGAATTCTGAGATTTTGAACTTCCTGAAACAGGAAATTCTAAAATTATGAAGTATTAATATTCTGAGACCCTGAGATTCTGAGATTCTGAGATTCTGAAATTCTGAGATTCTGAGATTCTGAAATTCTGAAATTCTGAGATTCTGAGTATCTGAGATTTGGAAATCCTGAGGTTCTGAGATTCTGAGATTTGGAAATTCTGAGATTCTGAGATTCTGAGATACTGAAATTCTGAGATTCTGAGATTCTGAGATTCTGAAATCCTGAGATTCTGAAATTCTGAGATTCTAAGATTTTGAGATTCTTAGATTCTGAGATTCTGAGTTTCTGAGATTTTGAGATTCTGAGATTCTAAGATTCTGAGATTCTGAGATTGTGAAATTCCGAGATTCCACAATTCTGAAATCCTGAGATTCTGAAATTCTGAAATTTTGAGATTCTGAGATTCCGAGATTCTGAAAAATAATGAATTTAATACCATTTATTCCGTTACTAACACAAAAATTAAATTTGCGAAAAAAAAAATCCAAAAATGAATGTTACAACATTTCGTTGTTTCAGTATTTGCTACAAGACAGTATCCGGAAAAAAGAAGGGAAAAATCTGAAAATGAGATTTTCCGACAAAATTCAGAAGACAAAATTCGAATCCAAAGGGGGAAAGGGGGGACAAAAAAAAGAAAAAAAAGAACCCGGAAATCCAGAAAAGGAAAATTATTTGCGATTATTCAATGATTTTTTTAGGTGAAAATAGGCAATTATTTACATTTTGACCTAGTTTTTCTGGTCACAGACAAGAGGGAAAAAGACAGTATTTGGTGGGAAAAGAAGAGGAAATCAACCGGATTGAGAAGGGGGGCGAAAAATTATAATTTAGAGATTTTTAATGCCAATTTCAGGAAAAATGGATTTTTGTCAAAATTCAAAAATAATTATCCATTGAATCCCTCGAGCAGGTATTTGAGACAAAACTGGAAAAATTTCCTATAGAGCATTTCGGCCTTCTCGTTGAAGCGATCCTGGAGGACGTGTTTGACCATGAGGATGAAGGGTTCTTCCATGTTTTGGAACATGGAGACGTTCATTCCGGACACCTGGAAAATTTGGAATTCATGGATTTTTTTTTGAATTTTAGAATTTCAGAATTTCGGAAATTCAGAATCTCAGAATCTCAGAATCTCAGAATCTCAATATCTCAGAATTTCAGAATTCCAGAATTTCTGCTCACCTTCTGCCGATGCATCTTCCCTACGGCGACTAGCCGATCACAAGCCGTCTGAACATCTCCTGGCTTCTCCTCGACGGCGGTGATGACGTCGTCGAATACCTGAAAATTATGAAAAATTATGGATTTTTTTTCTAATTAAAATCAGAACACAAATTCCCTCGTCTTGTTGTTTGGTGCACCAAACAAAAAGACGAGGGAATTTTGATTTATCTTGGAAAAAACCATGAACAGAGGATTCTGGAATGTCAGAATGTCAGAATCTCAAAAATCGAAGATTTTGGAATCTCAGAATCTCAGAATCTCAGAATCTCAGAATCTCTGAATATCGGAACCTCAAAATCTCAGAATCTCAGAAATTCAGAAATTCAGAATATCAGAATCTCAAAATCTCAAAATCTTAGAATCTCAGAATATCAGAATATCACAATTTCAACAGAAACATTTTGTTTCGGTCATTTTGTCAACAATATTTGCACCTGCGTCTTTAAATTTTAAATTTTGAGGAGTCGAAAAAAAGGAACTTAAATGAATATGTTTTTTGAATTTTTCGAAAGCTTTTGAAGTTTTTTTTTCATGATTACAAATCGAGAATTATAAAATCCGAAAATTAAAATTTCCAGAATTTTTACCTTTAGATACTGCGCCGCGACTGCTTCAAACCCGGGATCACTACAGTTCATATCCACCGTAGCCGCTTTCACATTTTTCAACTTTGGGTACAAATCCTTGTTCTCCGGGAAGTCGTTAAGATATCTGAAATTAACAATTATTAGTTTTTGAAAAAAAGTTTTAAATAAAATCTTTTTTGAATATTTTAACTCTGGAAAATAAGACTCAGAAAGACTAAGTCCTAAAGAAAGAAAAGTATCAAAAAATCATTTCCCTAGACTTTTTTTTGGATTTCCCAAGTGTCAATGGGCATATGATTTATTTTTGCTTCTGACGTAAGCAGGGATTAGTAAAACAAAAATAAGCAATAACCTAAATTTTTTTGATGAGTCAGAAAGTAGAAAAAGGTGGTTTTTGAAAAATTGTACTATGCTTGGTCAAATCAGAAAATATGAAATTTTGAGTTTTGATTGTCAGAATTAACTTGAAATTTTGAAGTCAGAGAACAAGAGATTAGGAAAATCAAAAGAAACAAAACAGGAAAAATTGGAATCTCGGAAACTCATAAATTAGAAAATTCAAAAATTCAAAAATTGCAAAATTCAAAGATTCCACAGTTCGGAGATTCTGAAATTCTGAGATTTTGAGATTCTGAGATTCTTAGATTCTGAGATTCTGAAATTTTGAGATTCTGAGATTCTGAGATTCTAAGATTCTGAAATTTTGAGATTCTGAGATTCTGAGATTCTGAGATTCTGAGATTCTGAGATTCTGAGATTCTGAGATTCTGAGATTCTGAGATTCTGAGATTCTGAGATTCTGAGATTCTGAGATTCTGAGATTCTGAGATTCTGCGATTCTGAGATTCTGAGATTCTGAGTATCTGAGATTTTGAAATTCTGAGATTTTGAGATTCTGAGATTCTTAGATTCTGAGATTCTGAAATTTTGAGATTCTGAGATTCTGAGATTCTAAGATTCTGAAATTTTGAGATTCTGAGATTCTGAGATTCTGAGATTCTGAGATTCTGAGATTCTGAGATTCTGAGATTCTGAGATTCTGAGATTCTGAGATTCTGAGATTCTGAGATTCTGAGATTCTGAGATTCTGAGATTCTGAGATTCTGAGATTCTGAGATTCTGAGATTCTGAGATTCTGAGATTCTGAGATTCTGAGATTCTGAGATTCTGAGATTCTGAGATTCTGAGATTCTGAGATTCTGAGATTCTGAGATTCTGAGATTCTGAGATTCTGAGATTCTGAGATTCCGAGATTCTGAGATTCTGAGATTCTGAGATTCTGAGATTCTGAGATTCTGAGATTCTGAGATTCTGAGATTCTGAGATTCTGAGATTCTGAGATTCTGAGATTCTGAGATTCTGAGATTCTGAGATTCTGAGATTCTGAAATTCTGAGATTTTGAAATTCTGACACTCTTTTTTTTTCGTCTAGAGTATAGTTTGACAAAAATAGCTACCAAAAAAACAAAAAAAATCAGAAAAGAGAATTTTCTTGAACAGGTGCAATAAATGAAATCATGTTTAGAAATTCTGACGACAAGAAAATATAATAAAAAATTCTGGAAATCAAATATCAACACAGCTGACATTTTACACCTGAAACAGGTGTAAAATTAAGTCAGAATACGACTAGAAAGAGGTCAGAAATTGAATATTTCCATAAAAAGATCAAAAATATTTTTTTTTTCGAAATTTCAAAATTTAATGTAAATCCCCAATAATAAATTTCCTAACCAAAAAAGTCCTTTTAAATTTTCACTTTTTTTCAAATTTTTATAAGTTTACAGAGACTTCTTCACACTTAAGAATTGGTGGAAATCTGTGGATCGAAAGCGTGTGGAGGCGTCGACTTACATGTTCAGCAAGTTAGTTTTTTTTTTTGGAAAATCTGAAAAACTGAAATTCACAAATTTCGGGATTTCGAATATTTTTTCTAAATTCGGGATTTCGAATATTTTTTCTAAAGCTCGGACTTTTCATAAAAATCCAAACTCCCAGAAAAACAAACAATTTCAAAATTAGGATTTTTCAAGAATTCTCGAATTATGGGGAATTTTGATTTTTTGAATATTGGAATTCAAAAAACTCAGGAGTTTCGAATAATTCTGAAAATGCAAAATTCCTGAATATTCAATTTCCAAAACACCCGAGAAACTTGAATATTCTTCAATTTGTTATTCAATTTGAAATTTTCAAAATTTCTCGAATTTTCATAAATTCAGAAATTCAGAATTTCAGAAATTCAGAAATTCAGAAATTTAGAAGTTCAGAAATTTAGAAATTCAGATTCTCAGATTCTCAGGATCTCAAAATCTCAGAATCTCAGAATCTCAGAATCTCAGAAAGTTCAGCAGTATTGAATCTTTTAGAAATACCAGAATCTAAGATAAATTCAAAATTTTCTGAAATTTCTGAAATTTCCATAATGTCCAAATTTCGAAACCCCCTAATTTCCAAAATTTAGCTAAATCCATCATATAAGATCCCTTGCTTCCAAAACTCCACTCTTCTTTCTCTGTTTATTTCAAATGTTTCGCATACTCTCCATCACACGACCACATGGTCACTTGGACCCGTCATCTGATTCTGAGAGTGACTAAAATTTCTTCAGAATCCCTGAGATTCAGAATTTCGCATGTACATCTGAATTTGTAGGGAGTTACAAGGCGTGGGAGGGGAGGAAGAGAAAAACTTGTAAAATTGGTTTCATTTGATCGCATTCTATGAGAGAAAGAGGAGGTTCAATGAGAGCAGGTGCTCAGTGAGGCAGTTGGTCAGAATAAAGTTGATTTGTTGGACTTTTCATCAGTTTGATAACGAAATATATTTATTTTGAATATAAATAATAATAAAAAATTGGCCGAGCTTGGACCCAACTCGATTTGTCTGAAATTTTCAGATTGTACTTAAAAAAATAGATATTCATTTTTGTAGTTATCAACTTTTTTGTGCAAATTTACCAAAGTGAGGTATACCGCTTGGTAGTGACCTACCGTATTTTATATAATTGAAGCCTACGTGCACTTTGAACTCAATTATCTGGGTTCCTGGGAGAAATATCAAAAAATGGTCAACTGATAAAATGTTTATCATTTTATCAGCAATGTTTTATCAGTTGATTACTTTTTGATATTTTCTTCAGGAAGCTAGATAAAATGTGTCAAAGTATGAAGATCCTTCTTTTCCATCGACCGGCCGCCTCAGTCCGCGCCACCGTAGCTCAGCTGTTAGCAACGCGGCACTTCCAACGGTGGGCCCACAAGTTCAATTTCTTGAAAGAGTAATTTTGAGAAATTTAATTCATCATTTTCCCCCACCCTCAAACTCTAGAGAATTTTCAACATAAACTTTCAAAGTTCTGTTCAAAAATTGAGTTTTCGCTGCTTTTGATCAAAAATCGTCAACTTTGGGTTTCTAAAAAAATGTGCTGTACCTGTCCGTTTAGCCTGAAAATTTTTGAGTTTATAAAACAAATTAAGAGCTCTATTTTTGTAGTTGATAACTTTTCTGATAATTCACTTTCTGGAAAGATACGAGAAAAGGAAGATCATATGTATTTGCTCTGATGGAAGCCCACCCTATACACTTTGAGCTTTATTATATCGGTTTCCGAGAGAGATATCAAAAAATTGTTTACTAATAAAATGTTTATCATGATATTACCTACATTTTATCAGTTTTCCACTTTTTGATATTCCTGATAAAAACCGAGATAATTAAGCTCAAACTGTACACATATGATTTTCATAAAATACCGTAATAAAATGCCACCCAGGCTTCTACTGTAGAGACAATACGGTAGGTCACTTCCAAGCGGTATATCTCACTAGGGTGGAATTTCATGAAAAAGTTGTCAATTACAAAAATGAAGCTCTATTTTCGTTTAGTACACTCTGAAAATTTCAGACAAATCGAATTAGGATCTCTTAATTTTGTAAAAACCTAGAAAAGGTACATCATCTAGGTTCCCAATTTTTTTGCTCCTTTTCTCACGTCTCCAAAAGAACCCCATATTCTTACATATTCTCTCTTTTTGTCTTTCTGACGTACAAAACAGAACACGAAAGCAAAGAAGAAAAAATCCATCTATCCGGAGAAAGAAGAAGAAAAAAAAAATAAATCCATGTGCTGTCCCGTTGCCCAAGGATACCCTCTTTTCTTCATCTTTACTCAGGTAGTGGTGGTGTTACGTAATCAAGTCGACGGGACGGGGAAAAAGAGCCAAAAACGAGGGGCGGGGTTTCGAGCTCACTCTCTCGCCACTCTCTCATTTCCCCACTATCTCTCGTTACTTGTTCTCACCCCTCCTATACCTCATATGCCTCGACGACGAGCCCTACACGGGAGAGAGTGTATTCAGTTAGAATCTCCCCCCAATTTTCTCCCCCCTACATACTATATTCCTTGGATCCCTAGGATAAAATCCTTAGGATAATATGGGTAGTGGCGCATCTAAAGCGCCCGCCGAGAAGCCGAAACCGCCGGAACCGGCGCAGCCGGCCGCCGAGACCCCCCAGCTAGATATTCGACTACCGTACCCTCATTTTCGAGAGCTTTTCACGATGAAGAACTTTTGGAAAACTGTACGAAGGAATGAGAAGGATTGTGGAAAAGTTATGCTTGCCAAGTGGGTAGCTTTTTTTGGGGGCGTTTTTGGCCTTTTGGCATTTGAACTTTATGTATAATTTGGCTCTTTTTTGGCATATAATTTAGCCCTTTGGTATTTTTTCAACTTTTTTGTCTAGTTTTTTTTCTATTTTGGAGTCTTTCGATACTTTTTTTCCAAGAAAAATTCAAAACTACCACTGATTTTGAAATCCATGAAAATTTCAATTTTTTCGAAATTTCGATTTTTCCGAATTTTTTCAAAATTTTAATCGATTTTTCTCTTTTTTTTAGCGTTCTGAAGTTGATCTTAAGGCACTCTATTCAGAATTTTTATTTTTCAAAACAATTTTTTTTTCTTCAAATTTGCTCATTAGGATTCCCCTATGACTAGGCTCGGAAAATATTTTCAAGTTTTTCTGATTTTTATTTTTCAAAGATGTGTACTTTTGAGTTTTGATCTTGTACTTTTTTCACGCGTGACCTTTTTTGATATAATTTTTGGGTATACTGTATTTGCCCACCCTATATGTGCACTTGGAGCTCAATTATCTCGGATCATGTAAAAGATATCAAAAATTTGTCAACTGATAAAATGTTGATCATAATATTACCAACATTTTATCAGTTTTCCAATTTTTGATATTCCTGATAAAAACCGAGATAATTAAGCTCAAACTGTACACATATGATTTTCATAAAATACCGTAATAGAATGCCACCCAGACCGTTCACTTTGTGACTATATATCTCACTTCTTCTGAAATATATCAAAAATTTGTCAACTGATAAAATGTTTATCATAATACCACCAAGATTTTATCAGTTGGCCACTTTTTGATATTCCTGATAAGAACCAAGATAACTGAGCTCAAAATGCACACATGTGATTTTCATGAAATATCTTATAACAAAAATCAAAACGAAAAATTACCGGAAATCCGAAAAAACGGCCCTCTTTCGAGCAGACTAATTTCCCCCAAAATTCAAAATTTTGTAGACTTTTTTTTTCAATTTCCGGCACGGATGGAGCATGTCTAGGGCTAAAAAACTTGGTGGAAACTGTGAGAAATGATTTTTCAGGTTTTCAAAAAAAATTGAAATTCGAAAAGTCACAAAGAATCTGTTTTTCAACTTCTGAATGTCCAATTATTATAACTTTATAATTTTAGAATTTCAGAATCTTAGAATCTCAGAATCTCAGAATCTCAGAATCTCAGAATCTCAGAATCTCAGAATCTCAGAATCGCAGAATCTCAGAATCTCAGAATCTCAGAATCTCAGAATCTCAGAATCTCAGAATCTCAGAATCTCAGAATCTCAGAATCTTAGAATCTCAGAATCTCAGAATCTCAGAATCTCAGAATCTCAGAATCTCAGAATCTCAGAATCTCAGAATCTCAGAATCTCAGAATCTCAGAATCTCAGAATCTCAGAATCTCAGAATCTCAGAATCTCAGAATCTCAGAATCTCAGAATCTCAGAATCTCAGAATCGCAGAATCTCAGAATCTCAGAATCTCAGAATCTCAGAATCTCAGAATCTCAGAATCTCAGAATCTCAGAATCTCAGAATCTCAGAATCTCAGAATCTCAGAATCTCAGAATCTCAGAATCTCAGAATCTCAGAATCTCAGAATCTCAGAATCTCAGAATCTCAGAATCTCAGAATCTCAGAATCTCAGAATCTCAGAATCTCAGAATCTCAGAATCTCAAAATCTCAGAATCTCAGAAAAACTTTCTAGAATTTCAGGACTTTTTTTTATTTTTAAATTTTTTTAGAATTCCTAGAAATTATATGTAACAAATGATTTTTCCCAATTTGCTCTCATATTTACTCTCTATTTGAGTTCTAGACTTGCTCCCTTCGAGCTGGAAACTAAAAATCCAATGTTCAATTTTTCTGGAATTTGAGGAATGTTTGGAATTCCGGTCTGGCTTCGAAATTACAAAATTTTGAACTAGAAATCCCAATTTTCAAAAACAATGTTTTTGTAAAAAAAAAAGGTACCTGTACGACTCAATTCCGACTCTCTTATCCAGCGGTTTGACAGCTTCCGGCTCTGGCAATGGCAAACTTTTGTCCTTGTTCTTACGCAACTTTTTGAACACCGCCATTCTGAAAAATTCGGAAAATTGAAGAAAAAAAAAATAATTGGGAAAATTTGGGATAGATGTGAATTTACAAAAAAAAAATAGGAACATTTGAAAATTGAGGATGGTGTAGTAGAGGTGGAAGAGGAAGAAAAAGTGTTGGCCGAACTTTTCAAAAAGTTAGGCCACGTGGCCTAGCTTTCCAAAAGTTAGGCCATGGGGACATGGGACAATGGATAGATGGAAGAATAGTAATCTAGGCCACGTGACCTTGTTTTATTTTTTTGAAAAGTTAGGTCATGACCTAACAGGCACTGTATAGAAAAGCTAGGCCATGATTGGTGGCCAAACATTTTCCAATTTGGGAAAGTTAGGCCATAGAGAAAAAGAACGGACATTTAAACAAAACGGAACGGTGCGTATAGAAAAAATGTGAGGTGGCCTAGAAACGCAAAACTAGGCCACTACAGAAAAACCTAGGCCACGATTTTTGGTATACCGTGAGCAGAGACGAACGATAGCAGCGATCATTTTTGGCTGAAAATCAGAATTTTCAGGTTTTTGAAATTTTTTTTGAAAATTTGAACATTTTGAGAAAACTTACAATAAAGCCAAGGCTATAAAACAAACAAATATGAAAAGAAGAAAATTTTTTTTGGTATTTTTTTTTCAAAAAAAAAAAAAAGTAAAACAACAATTTTTTGTTCTTCTTCTTCTGTCTAGTTAGTAGTAGTAGGACGGAGAGTTTTGTGTCTTTTTGTTGGGGCAATCGGTTTTCTTCTTTTTCTTCTTCTTTTTTTATTCGAAAAAGAAGAAGACGTGGGGGGATTTATAAGAAGAAGAAGCTGAGAAAAAGGAGATGTATGGAGGATAGATGGGGTGAGGGACGGGCGCTGGCTGGATGGATATAACGTGGAAATTTTAGAGAGAGGGAAAAAAATTCAGAAGACGTGAAGAAGAAGAAGAAGCTAGTCGGTCGTCGCTGTTTTTGAGAGCCAATGTCGCAAAATAAGTGGGAAATAGTGTGTTGGGATGAGAGAGTTGGTAGAGATATTTTTGTGTGGGGGCGGATGGAGAGAGAGAGAGAGAGAGAGAGAGAGAGAGAGAGAGAGAAAAAGGACACCCAAGGGATATACACAGGAGTTCTTGAAATATATGAACGTAACAAAAGTTGAAAAGTTACGTCATATTTTAGGACCAACTTAAATAGATACGATAGAACTCAACAAGCTTTTTAGATTCCGGAATTCTAGAATTTTTGGATTTTGAGGTTCTGAATTTCTGAGAATCTGAGATTCTGAAATTCTGGTATTCTAAGATTCTCAGACTCCATAAATTTCAAAAATCCCAAAAAATGGCCGAAAATTCCACTTCCATCCTTTTCTACGTCATTTTTCCCATCCCCATGGTTACGGCTCTCATATTTTTTTGCAAAAATTTACAAATGTACATTTTTTCCAAAACACATAACGCCTACATTCAGAAAAAAAAGGAATACACATCATTCTGATTGGTGATTACTCATAATTCGATAATGATTATGTTGTCATGTAGTGTAATAACTAATGATGAGCAATGAGAGGAAACTGGGGACCGGGGAACATATCAGAAATTTAGGATAAAA